CCCCCCCCCCCCCGACACCACTCAGTGACTGACATCTGATCCCATTGGACGCCCGCCTTCCCCCCTCAGTGGCTGATCCCACTGGCCTGGGGAGGGGGAAAGAGTCCCCAACGGCCAATTACGTGGCCAATTTCACTCACCGTAAAAGCGGTCGCACCGGAACTCCCGCAGCCACTTCTGGAAGTGGCATGGCCGCTTTTGCTGGTGGCCCCACTCCCCAGCCAGCACTTGCAGGGGGGGTACTGGTGCTCCCGCCTGCTCCCCTGCCTGCTGGCTAAACAGGGAGTGTGGCTGAATAGGGGGTGCACCTGTGCTCTCAAGGGGTGCACGTGCACCCCTGTGTACCCTCTATGCATTGCCCCTGCACACAGGGTAGAGTAATGAGGAGATTTCCACACAACACTGTTTGTGTGGGAGAGAGAAGACCCCATGCATGGTAATCCTGCAGACATTTAAAACAAAAAAACAGCACTTTTAAAATCCACACATCCCTGCATCGAACCCGGTGCATGACCAGAAGAGGCAGTGCATTAGTTGGACCTGGCTTGCCTGACATCTGTATAGATTGGGCACTTTAGTGGGGCTTTTGGTGCTTTTATCTAATAGTTGATTGAATCAGCTTGAGATAAAAGTGCCAAAAAGCCCTGCCGAAGCACCCAAACTATACAGACACTGCAGAGCCAAGTCAAAATAACGTGTCGCTACTTCCAGTAAAGTTTGGTTTGGGGGGGGGGGAGGGGTTAACATCTGCAAGCAGCTGCAGTCTCCATTTGCCTAGGGCAGTGGTCTCCAAACTTTTTCGATCGCATACCCCTATCAGTAAAAAAAAAAATTTTGAGTGCGCACCCCCAATATATGTATATTTATAGAAATAGAAGTTCTAATATTTTCTTCCCGCACCCCAGTGGATTGTCTTGTGCACCCCTTGGGGTGCACGCACCCCACTTTTGAGACCACTGGCCTAGGGTATAGAATTGTCTATTAGTCTTTATTCAAGTCTGGGGAGTGAGAGGGAGTCTTCTTCAGTCTGTCCACCCTCCCTCCCTTTTGCTTCTGAGATGTTTGCCCTACAGCTTGATGTTTTGAAAAATCTGAAATCTTTTCTGAGCACTTAGGTAGTTCTGAAAGGTACTAGATGGTAGAAAGGTAGTATGTCACTATTTCTGGACCACAGCAACAGATAAGTTTGCTCTGTCCCACAGATCATTCCTTTATTTTTATTATCTAGCAGAAAAGGAGTATAGTCACAGACTGCCAGTTGCAGCTAAAGCCTTATGATTGGTTATTGGGTCAGACTTTGTCTTAGTGAAAACTGTGAATTTATTCCTCTCATATAAACAAGACAGTAGCAATCTTATACTGTGGCATGAAAAGATTATAGACAGATAATGCTTTATCTGTCCACTCAGGAAAGGAGGCTTACATCTACCATTCAGTCTAGGAACTTAAGTTTTGACCGAATTTAGGAGATACAATAGTTTGATCTGAATTGCTGTACTGGCGCAAAGAAATATGATTCTCAGCTAAGGGTGTAAATGAAACTGTTTATACCACTGCAAAAGGTGGGGATGCTTTCCATGGCTCAGCTGAATTTGCTGTTAACTAACTTTCTGTATGCTTTCTACCATGGTGAATGGAAGCTAAACCACAATAATTTATTGCTTGCATTTCATTTGCATAAATTACTGTGGTTTAATTTCACTTAATGCAAGATAGTTTTGGACAGATGATACAGTTACAGCAGATCAGTTGGTGCATGCTGAAGAATAGTATGTCCCTTTTCCTTCAAAATGGTACAGTTGTGTCCTCAGTCCTCTACATATGTATCCTCAGTTACCTCATACCACAGGCTCTGGCCAAAGGTATGGATTCTGTTTTACTGTCCCAACTAGGAACTTCATTCCATTCAAAATTAAAAGCCTTTTCTGTAACAGCCTAGTTCCTGAAATTTTAATTTTTTTTAAGGTGACTTTTAGAACTTCCCTGGCCTTAAACACTATTATAGGAGAAATTTCAAGTAGAAAAAGCAAGCTTTGCAGATATTGCAAAATAGACTTATGAACAGTTCTGGAGTATGTTTTAGTAGAGTTCCAACTAAGTTCATTTACCTGCTTTTTTTTGGCTGTCATGAACTAATCTTGGGTGGACCAATTGAAAGACCTTTTTGAGACCCCTTTGTCACAGGGCATCACCTCCAGAGGTGGCCTGGAGACCAAAAAAATATACTTTTTACCTGGCTTTGTAGGCAGTCTGCCCTCCTTACCTGCCACGTCTCAGTGTTAATTGCCATTAAAATATGGGAGGCTACCTTGGTCTTAATCGAATGACCGCCAACTGTCTGTGGTCCAAGACTCACAGGCTAATAGTGTGGCTCTGTTTTGCCCCTACACCGTGCCAAAGCCTTGCAGATTCTCATTGATAGTCTCTCATTACACACACAACCCCTCGCTGAGCCTCAGTCCTCTTGGTCTTTTCCTCAGCCCCTTTCTGGGCCCTCAGTCCCCCTTGGTCTCACTCAGCCACACCGTGGGCTTCCAGAGCCCTTGGTCTCCCGCTCAGTCCCTCTCTAGACTACCAGACCCCTTTGGTTTCTCCCTAGACCCTTCTGGTCCCACACTTTTCCTGGCCCCTTGCTGGGCCTCCTGGTCCCACGCTTGCTCTAGGCTCTCTGCTGGGCCCCACTCAGTCCCAGAGATTCTCTTCTTCCTGCTGGGCTGACACTCGGCCTCAGGCTTCTGTTCTTCCTGCTGGGCTCACTCTTCGCCTCAAGCGCCTGTCCTCCCTGCTGGGCCCATTCTCAGCTTTGGGGCTTCTGTTCTCACTTTCTTCTTCAGACCTTCCCCAACTCAGATGGCACCACCACTGTCATACTGGACTGCAGTCTCCTTGATCCCCTTCCTCTCAGGCTGTAGCCACACATGGACCTTTGGCCTATCCATTCCAAGGCCCTGGTCCTGCCTTGGGCCAGCTGAGATCTCCAGGCTCTGGCAGTCTCTGCAGTGGTCCCTTCTGGGCCTTTTGTTGGGCCCTGGCCCTGCACGATCCAGTTGAAATTCCATAGGTCAGTTGAAATTCATCTTCATTCCTTCTCTGGGCCCCGGACCCCTTATCAGGTCCCACACACTTGGCCCCTCTCTCTGGGCTCACCTGGACCCCGCGATAGTTTCTGTACTTTCAGCCCCTCTCTCTGGCTTCAGACCTCTCCTTGGGTCCCCAGGATACTCCTATACAGGCACTCCTCGGACTTGCAACACAATTGGTTCCTGAAAACTTGTGTCTTAAGTCAAAATGTTGTAATTCAGAACCAATTTTTTCATAAGAAACAATGTTATAAATGGGGGATTGGTTCCTGAACCAAAGCCCAATACCTTATTTTCTCAAAAATACCCCAGAATTTTGTACTTGATCAATTATAGGTGAGTAATATAGCTACATTAATGTATTTGTATTGTCAATAGCAGTCATTGATTTGGAAGGACTTCTTTGAGGTGACTTTGCTGGACTTTTTGAAAGGCTCTTGGTTGGTCATTTTGAAGGGTTCTTGGCTGGAGTCTTCTCAGGAGTCTTGGCTGCAGGTTTTTCTGAAGTCTCGTCTGCTTTCTTAAAGAAAGTGTCCAAGGAAGTTTGGAGAGATGTTCTCCAGGGAGATGAGCGATGCAGCGAACTTGTTTGCTGGCATGGCATGGCATGGCATTGCATCGGACCAAGCGTTGTAAAGTCAAAACTGATGTCATAAAATTGAAATGTCAATTTATAAATGTTGCAACTCAAAACGTTGTAAGTCGACTACTGCCTGTAGTTCGTTCTCAAACTTCCAATGTTGACTTTCGTTGGTGTTATCCTCCATGCTGACCTTCTGGACCTGCAGCCTTCGTGCTGAAGTGGTGCTCTTCTTTCAGCAGGCTCCAAGATCTTACTGCCAGTTTTGCTCAGGGCCTGGATTTGTATCTGTCTTAAATCCAGTCCTCCTCCTGGGTCAGATGACCCCATACTCAGGTCTGGTCCCACCTGCAGACAGCTGCTTCTTCCCTTAAAGGCAGGCACCCTATGCAGCCTGCCACCCCCTTATTGAATGTTATCTAGGAGCACATGAGAGTTCCTTTCCAAGCTGGTTGGTAATTGTGAGCTCAGGTTTCTTACAAGAAGTAACATTTCTTAATGGTAATGAGTACAGATCGTAGAGCAAACTTAAAGTTCTAAGGGAACACTATCTAGAAAAATTCATAAAATGGTAGGCTCACAGTTCTCTTCAAGTAAACGACAGAGTTCTTTATTGAGTCTGTTATAGTGTCAACATTTTTCCATGCCTGTATTTCTAGATCTTTGGCCTTAAAAATTGTTTTAAGTGGAATAAAGCTCTTAAAGTAGATTTAATATGAGATATACAATCCAGCAACTATTGTATATTTATATATAGTCCTATAGTGATGATACTGTCGAAGAAATAAGCATCAAACCACAAGTTATGTTGACTTTGAGCATTGTTCCAATGTGGGGCAGGGAGCATTTGCGTTCCTCCTACTGGTGATGCAAATAAACTGAGCTTGTGGATTTCTGCTTGTATCTCACTAGGAACATGAGGCCCAGAAAGACACATTTTTGTAGTACACCTTGAGGAAGTAGAACTATACATAATCTGTCACATTAGGGTTTGTTGCACAAGTATATAGGAAGAGTTCTTATGAGTATTTTAGATATACACTGTGTAGGAAAAAGCAACTATGATTTAGCTATATCACAGCTGCTTTTGAATTTTAATTTCTTGTAAAACATCAGCTGAATATTCTCATCTAAAATTTGGAGTATAAGGATTTATCTGACTGGGAGCTATTCTGGAACTCCTCTGCCAGAGTCAGAGCACCTTGGCCTTGTTAGCTTATCCACTTCCGAAGTAGGTTAAATGAAAACAAAACACTCATTCTGGAATGAGTGCATGTGGAGCTGCCCTTCTAGTAGCTGTTCCCAGACAAGCTCCTTGTGTATAAGAACCTTTAGAAAATAGCTCAACATAAAAAGAATGTATGAGGACAGTTTGGTTTAACTCCTTACATATTATTTTCCTTTCTGAAAATATTAATAGTGATCTTTTTTTTATAGCATGTTTGATTTTATGATTGATACTAACAGTTTCCCTGTGGCAGGTCCTCTCAGCACTAAAATCCTTCATTCCCAAATTTTTCTGAACTAGTGTTTTAAAATGAAGTCTGACTAATATTTACTCACCATTCTACTAATTGCAAGAGGCAAAACACATTCAACATGCCTCTTTGAAGAGTCAGCTAGTCTTCAGATATCATAACTTTATATACTTTGATTCTTAATTGCTTCAGGTGTGGCTGTAGCTTGTTTTTCAAGCATGAGGACTGTGTTTGGCAATTATGTATTGTATGTAGCATGGCTTGTATCTTGTACAGCTAATCAGAGACATTGACTTGCTGTTGAGTGAAAAAATCAGATACGTTTGAACTCAATAATTCTTTGCATTGTTTAAATGATAATTTTTCAAGACTTGTTAAAATGCTCTCATGCATAAGAGAATCATTTCTCAGAGGTTGCACTGGCAAGGTGAACTGGCTGGGTTTAATCAGAGTACTTTGTGCTTAATGTTACATTTTACATCTGTCTTTGCAGAAGAATCATGTTTACTAAATGTTGTAAATAAACACTTGCTTTTGCCACTTGTATAAAGCATGATAAACACATGCATCGATACATATTATGGACAATGCCAGGATATGGCACCACTTGCCTTTTTACACCATTTAATGTTTTAACCATTCTCCGATTCTCATAGATTTCTCAAATAAAGTTTCTGAATAGTGTGCATACCTCCATTTTACAGTATAGCACATGCACACATGATCAGAACTTCTGAAAAGGTTAATAATCTTGGTTGCATATCTGTCAGGCTTGAAATTGTGAAATATTCCTTTATTTGTTATTTTTTTTCCAAGTAAACTCCATGATACAAACCCCAGTGCAACCTCTTAACAACTATGCTTAATCTTCTCTAGTGATCTTTTACTCCATCTTTCTCATCATGCTGACTTGTCTCTCCTCTGTCTGTTCAGCAGTGGGAGACATTTAGTGAACGCTCTTCAAGCTCACAAACTCTGACCCAATTTGATTCTAACATTGCACCAGCTGATCCTGTAAGTCAATCACTTAGCTTGCTTGTTTGAAATTAATTTTATTAACACTTATTTTTCCATACATTGTTTTTAGCTATTATGCATGATTCTATGGACTGCTTGGTTGGAAATGGTGGCAGGCTTATTAATTTTGTCTGCTTGTTAAGAAGATGAATTTCTTATTTCCTTTAATTTTTAATATCTGAGTACAGTGGATGTTTTTCTCAATTGTGACATGATGCAGTGCTTCTGTAAAGGAGCATTTTGCAACATGATTATTACACTTCATTTACAACTGTTTGAGTATCTGCATTATATAAAGCATGGGACCCTTAGCTTATATCTGTTCAAGTCTATTGCAGGTTTTATGCGCACACAATTGTGAAACTGATCTTCCTAGTGTATATGAACTACTTTATCAAACTTTACGTTCGTGTTACAGTCCAAAATTGACATGGTAGTTCATATTTATGAGATTTGCCATCATGTTACTCTAGAAATAGTATTTTTGAGTACTTTTGAAATACAACTATACTAGCAATAGCATTAGACTGTAAAGAAGTGCTGAGAATAACAATTATGCAGTTAAACACTTTGCCAGGTTTGCTTTACTTAGAGCCTGCAAGAGCTGTTGAAGCAGCTTTAAATACTTTAAAAATGTGTTGCCATTTCTTTTATAGATTTAATTTGTAGCAAATTAAAATTTTCTAAATTCATCTATAGCACTGGTTCCCAAACTCTGATAGATTCTGTCCCACTAATTTTAAAACAATACAACCTTAAGTACCACCAGCAAATTTTTGTCATATAGTCTTTATAATGAATCTGTTAACGTGTACCACTGACAGGTTGTCTGCGTACCACTGGTGGTACATGTACCACAGAATGGGAACTGTTGATCTACTGGCAGCCCCTGCTTAGCACAATTAATTGGTTCTCGAAAAACAAAGCATTAAATGTAACAGTGTTAAATGTAACCGATTTTTTTTCCCATGAGAATGCCTGTGAGCGTTGAAACAAAACTCTCTGAGCGCTAAGTGGAATCGGGTATCAATGTAAAACAACTGTTAGAGCAAAATAATGCTAAGCGAAACGGCATTAAGCAGGGGTTGTCTTTATTACATAAGCTAGCTATAATACATCTTAGAATAAAATATAAGATGTGGCACTTCATAACTCATCTTAACCAGTAAGATGTACACATACAGAATTATACATTTTACTTTGTTAAATGTATTTAATTTCAAAGAATCTTACATATTAAATAACTAATTGAAAAAATTGCAGCCTTCTGAGGTCTCTTTGGGCAATTTTATATGTGCTCTGGGGGTGGGAGGGGGCAACGCTTTAATTTGGAGCAGTTCCAAGAGCTGCTGTAATTAAAGCACCACAGTGTCTGATGCATCAAAGTACCCCTGCTTCAAAATAGCAGCGGAGGCGCTTAAATAAAAGCTTATTGAACGAGCTTTAGTTCAAGTGCCCCCACCACTATTTTGAAGCACAGGGATGCTGATACATAAGATTGCAGGAGGCTACTGGAGTGCAGTAATTACTACACTTCAGCAGACCATTAATTGAATTTGCTCCGATGCTCTGTAATTACAGCACGTCAGAGCAGCCTCCGCGCTCGTGTACAGGCACCCTGTATTCAGAGTAAACAACATTTGATTGATACTTGTATTACAGCAGTACCTCTAGATCCCAGATAGAATTGGGTCTTTTGTACCAGGTACTACATAACTCACTTTACTCAAAAGGGTGTGGGGTGGGAGTAGACAGTGGTCTACAGATGTCTATCAAATGCATTGAAAAAAGCCAAGTTAAACTGTCTGTACTCTTCAGGGTAAGCACACATCCCTTTTCTATTTATGTACTTATTCTTCATTCTTCAATTGAAATATATTAATGCAACATATTATATGCAGCTAATTGCATCTCATGAAAGCACATTGATTTATAGCTCTTAATTTATGGCCATGAAACGTGCATATATATTGGAGGATCATTTTTTTGAAAGTCTTTTACCTAACGATCAGAAAGTCTAAAATAAGTTTAAAGTGTTCATGCCTAAAAACCTTTGATGGGACAGGAGAGTTGTTCTAACACTGTTGTACCTGATTACATTTACCATATACAGTATCAAGTAATTTGGGAAGTTTTAGAAAGTACTGATATAAATGTACCTGGTTTTATAAAAGTGGACTAATTAAACAGTTTAAATCATGTTAAACAGTTTCCAAGAGCAATTTAAAACATTAAAATGATAATCTGCCCTCCATATGCATATCTATTTGTCATTGCTCTCAGTAGTGACGTTGTGAACACTACTTATATGGTGCAGATTTTGTTTTTGAAGGGGCGAGGAAGAATATGAGCAGAGGATCTGATAGTTTTCTATAAGGCCATAGATACAACTGTGACACAGTCGGGTGCCAGTACTTTTTCAGACTTCATATCTGACAGCAGTCACTTGAAGTGCATGTTGTAAAACCTCTGAAGCATAAGCTTACTCAGTGGAGTAGACTTTCTGGTGGAGAAAGCTCATTACGTTTCTAAAGTGATGCTATTTTAAATATTTAAAACTTCAGAAATCTAGAGCACGTTGACACTTCCATGAAATGTTTCTGATCTTAAGGAAAAATGCACTGTCTGTTTGTGGGCTACATTTTAATATGTTTATGAACCACCCTTACCATTCATGAATATATCATGTGCTTTGGGCAACAGTAGTGTTTATTTTTACAGAAATTTAAAATAGGAAGTTGGGTATATAACTATATTTGAAGGAATTTAGTAGCTAGAAACAGTATTCTGCAAGCAGTGGACCTCTGTGCATAATAATATTTTACTGCATGTAGCTAAATATACTTGTAATGGACATGTTATTCTGAGACTGGTTGACTGTTGTCCACCATCATAGAATGTGAGTTCTTGGGGACACTGGAGAAAAGTTTACATGTGAATATAGGCCTAGCAAAATATGTTGTAGGCAGTTAAACCTTTGGAGAATCACAAAAAAAATAAATTAAAATTACTTCTTCCTTCCCCTCTTCAGGATACTGCTATTGTTCACCCAGTTCCCATACGGATGACTCCAAGCAAAATCCATATGCAGGAAATGGAACTTAAAAGAACTGGAAGTGGTAAGTTACTTTCTAGTCTGATTATGAAAGCAGCTATTACACTTATAAAACTAACAGAATACTATTTCAGAGTCTGTTTCTCTGTAAAAATTGTGACACTTTTTCTTGAAATTAGACAAAAGTATCTGGTATTCCAACCATCATAAGCTATTCCAGGTGGTAGAGAACTTTGTGTTAGAGCAGCATTCAGATGCACATTGAGATAGAGAAATAACTTTTTGTTCAGAAGACGTTTTCGTGCTGGGGACAAGGGTGGTTGGAATAGTTTGGAAAGGTCTTCATGGAGACTTGGTTAGAGGGGGGAGAACTTTTTTCAGATTCACTTGTTGCATTCTGGAGGTGCTTGGGGTGGTCTGAAAGATGACTCTAGTAACATCCAGTGACCTTTTTCATTAGCAAAACCTAGTGGGGGAGACATTTAATCAGTTAGGTTCCCTCTACACATTACATGTATCATGCAATTACAAAGTTAATTGCACAATTCATTTAGACTGGCCACATGTGGAAATTAACTGTCACGTCTTATAAAGTCCAGCCAGCTATAAAGTTATTGCTGGAAAATGTGTAATAACATAATAACTATCGCTTTATAGTATAATAACCAGCTTTAATTTGCATGTGTAGCATAGCTGTGCCCCCTGCCACTGGGAACCCAGTCAGCTGATGGGCCTCCTATCCACTGAAGTGGATCATGTACTGTGACAGCTGGAAGTACCACAACTGAGGGGACTCCCAACCCTGGCACTATCCCACAGGCTGGAGCAGCTGGGAGTCCCGTCAGCTGACGAGTCACCCATCTGCACAGTGGGGAAATGGTACAAGAGGACCCTGGGGTCATAAGCCTGGTGCTCCCTCTACACTCGCAATGAAGTTCAATTAGGATCTGATGCTGGATCTCACAATCAGACCTCCTACCATGTGATTGTGTGGATCGCTCAGTAGATCCTACTATAGCATGCAGATTTTATGGAGATTTTTGGATAGCAGCAGGAGCCAAGGGCATGTCCCACGTGTAGCTGACTGGAATCCAAAAAGGATTTTTTAGGGCCTTGGACAAACGTAACACTTGAAACATTTCAGATGTGTTTGGGTGAGCCTTCTGAAGTTCTCCAGGAATGGTCAAAGCTTTTGAAAATAACCATGAACAAAGAGCAACTATTTGGAAGCATTTGTAAAGCTGTTCATCTGCTCTCCCTTCCTCCTTCCTCCCCCAAGGAGGAGAGTGAAGCCTCAGAACCAAGGGGCCCCATTTTGTACCCTCTGGCTGGAGAGCATGCCACTGCATGCTCTTGTGACAGTTTTGAAGCATTCCAGAATGGGGACTGTACACTGTCTGCAGCTGACGCACTGCAGTTCTGAAGCATTTCACCTCAGTCTTCAGAGGCAAGGTCAGCTTCCAGATACTTCACTGCGCAACACAGTTTGGGGAGGAGCTGATCAGCCCTCAGTGCTAAAAGAACATGTTAGAAACTGCTTAGAAAAGCTGGACATATAAAGGTCCATGGGGCCAGATGGGATGCACCCAAGGGTGCTGAGGAAGTTGCCTGATGTGATTGCAGAGCCATTGGCCATCATCTTTGAAAACTCGTGGTGATCAGGAGAGGTCCCAGATAATTGGAAAGGGCAAACTTAGTGCCCATATTTAAGAAAAGGAAAAAGGATCCAGGGAACTACAGACGAGTCAGCCTCACTTCAGTCCCTGGAAAAATCATGGAGCAGATCCTCAAGGAATCAATTTTTAAGCACTTGGAAGAAGAAAAAAGTGACTGGGAACAGTCAGCATGGCTTCGTCAAGGGCAAGTCATGCCTGACCAACCTGATTGCCTTCTCTGATGAGATGACTGGCTCTGGATACAGGGAGACCAATGAATGTAGTGTACCTTGATTTTTACCAAGGGTTTTGATATGGTCTCCCGCAGTGTTCCTGCAGGCAAGCTAAGGAAGTACGGGCTGGATGAATGGACTGCTTACATGGATAGAAAACTGGCTGGAGCATTGGGCTCAGAGTAGTAATCAATGGCTTGATGTCAGGGGCATAACCCCGCACTGGTGCCCCACACACAGGGCATGTGTCACTAGGGCAGCATAGAGCTTGCAGCAGCAAATAGCTTTCCTGTGTGGCCCTGATGTGTCCCTTCTAGCGGGCAGCCCACCTCCACCCCATACACAACGTTGGGGGCACAGGTCCCCTCTGCCCCCCCTGGGAGTGCGTGCATCAGCAGGGATCTGGTCCTGTTCCCCGCCCCCCTGACAAGCTACCCATGGCCCCGTCCCACTCCACCAGGGCCCTGTGGCCATGCATTGCAGCCCTGGGCCTCATGCATCCCCTGGCTGGGCAGCAGCCCCAGCCCTGGCCAACTCCCTCCCTTCCTATGGGAGCCTCAATTCCCACCCCCCCCGTGGGAGCTGCTCTCCAGGCTGCCTGGCAGCCATGTGCATATACATACACATGGTGCCCCCTGCTTGACTGCCCTCCTCCTGCTCCCTCCCAGCCCCTTTCAGGCTTGAACTCTGCCAGCCTACAGAGAGCTCTTTGCAGAACTGGAAAATCCACAGGTTTCTCTGTTAAAATGAGAAATCTGTGGTTTCCTCCGGTGAAGGGGAAAATCCATGTTTTTTCTCTTTTTTCTGTGGGAAGCAGAAAACCCTGATTCCTGTTAATCATGCAACTATATTTTTCCATCTAGACCATGCTAATCCTACTAGTCCACTACTTGTGAAACCAGCCGACCTCTCCGAAGAAAATAAAATAAGCTCATCTGTAAAATTTGTACCTGGAAATACAGTTGGTAAGTGTCCAAGCACTTTTTGATGTTTTTTATGTTTACAAATGACAACTTGAATAGTTGTACAGAATGGAAGATAGCTTTTCAGTGTTGGTTTTCCAAATTTCTTAAAGTAAGTGTCAGATTATTTTGAATTAGCAACTGTCCTTATTTTAGGAAAATCTCAGGAGCTATATCCCAAGGGAAGAGTGGCATGCTGCCACTGGCTTCATTCAAGCTGTGGCATTTTGTCACATGAGGATCTGACTCCCCCATCTGCTAAAAAAAAAATATATATTTTTCTTTTAATTGTTCGCTGCCTTATTTAGCAGCAGACCATTTTTGGCTACCAAGATTAATCCCAGAAATACAAGCAGGCTGCAGCATTCTTTATCCAAGGCAGGATTGACTTTAAATAGCATTTGATTCTATTCTGTCACAAAACTGTTCATTTTTCAAAGGAAATAATTTATTAGACAACTGGTGTATACAGAATTTTGACGGTAATTGTTACTGTTGCAGTTCCTTGAAAAATCACCTAAGGCAATATACTATAGTTCCTTATAATCGGATTGTTACTAGGTACAATTGTATTGTCAGTTATTTGCCTAATGTGTTTGGCTTTTTGTGTGTTTTGCTTTTAAAATATACTGCATTATTTGGATTTGATTAGTCTTTTTGTGGTAAGTAATTATATATACAAGTCACAAATAAGGCATCAGTTTGAATGTCTAGTCTCTAGCTTTTACTCCTGAAATTGATTTACATCCACTTCTTTCATCATATTGTGAACTTCCCTTCAATAAAGATCTATATCTGATTAATATGTCCCCTTTATATTCCATACCATGAGTATGGAGACAACTGTTGGAGTACCCCCATACTGCTTTTATTGGTAGAATTTAACGGTAATGTAAGGCAGCCAAGGATCTTGCTGGCAGTAGCCTTTTCCTTACTTTTGAACTCAATTTCAGTGGTATTGTTTTCTTTCATGGTCATTTCATTTCTTCTCTGGTCCCTTTTCTCTAACTCCTTCCCTGTCCCTTTTCCCAGCGTAGATCCTTTTTTTTTTTTTTTTTTTTTTTTAACCTCTAAAAA